ATTTGGTTTCAACTATACCTATACAATTATTTTATTGACAATTATAATCAATCTTGACTATATTATCTTGCATTTGTAAACTTAGAATTACCTATTTAACTCGCACGGGCTTAGCTCAATGATTTAGTGGGTAGTATTTGGGAGAAGAGACCAAGGTTTGAACCTTGGCGGCGGCAGTGCGGGAATTATGTCCAAAATGGGCAGATTCCTTGTGCGTATCAGCATTTGGCCCTGTCTACTGAACCATTGAGTCACCGTGATTTACAACTTCCCACAATGCTCTGTCGGGTCGGAGTGTGGGGGGCCCTTGGGGTTGGGAACTCAACCTTTGGGAGAAGAATTACCTATTTAAATACGCAAATTCAACCTTCAATTATCTATGCATGAACAATTTCAATATAATCCTGCCTTAATATACTTTAAAGTACTTATTTAACAAAAAAACATTGGGCATTATCCCAATCGCGCAATGCGCGTAAAAAACTAGTATATAGAATAATGCTCATATGTGGTCATGTTGTTAGGTGTGGTCGTGTGACGGAATTTCAGAATACACTAACAGTGTTAACAACATGCAGCAACCCCACCACAATGAAATGCAAAAAAAATACCAAAAAATGCACCATATAACTCACCAACCCCAATGGTGTATTTCAGAACACTGTATGGTGTTTTTACTCACACCTAATGGTGTGCTGTTGGTGATGCGTACCTAATTTGTGTGCGTTTTTTGTGGTGCATTTCCTGACGTTGATGGTGTATATCTTACTTAACTATTGGTGTATTCTGAAATTCCGCCACACGACCACACCTAACAACATGACCACATGTGATCACCCCTATATATATATATATGTGTGTGTGTGTGTGTGTGTGTGTGTGTGTTAGGCATATTATAGTAATATGTACTATATATATTGTTGTAGTAACAGTTACTACTTTACTATACTTACTATATAAATCTATTATATTATACTAATAAGAGCAAATAAGTACGGCATTGTGTTGTTGTCTCCCGAAGGGTCCTTTTTGGTGGCAAAAAACGGAAGACTCCCGAGTTGTTTGTTGCCGTTTATGCCGGAGACTTTGGCATGTAAGGAGGCTCTATCCTGGCTACTGGAGAAAAATACAACAACGATCACCCTTCTCACAGACTGTATACAACCAGGGAATACTATACGATAGGAATCAACCAATATAATGTCCTATGTTGGGTCATAGTAGACCAATGTAGGAGTTTCATTTCTTCGTTTAATTATGTCTCGATAAATTATGTTTCTAGGCAGATTAATTCGCATGCGCATACGCTAGCTTCGGTAGCTTTTGTTCAGGATCAAGCTATGTATTGGGATTATATCTCCCCCTGACTGCATTGCAGTTTTGATTCATTAATACAATCATTCTTTGGTTGGTTTTCAAAAAAAAAAAAAAAAAAAAAAAAAAGCAAATAAATTTAGGCCTATAACCAGAATTAAAAAATATCCGTCGTCCAATTATGTGATGAAATGAATGGTTCATATTATTTTGATTTTAGTATTTTTTTATGATTTTCCTTTTTTTACCCTGTAATAAAAGCCAATAAAGTTAGGCATATAACAAGAACTAAAAAATGTCTGTCGTCCAATTATTTGATGAAATGAATGATTCAGATTATTTAAATTTTAGTATTTTTTATGATTCTCCTCTTTTACCCTCTATTTTATTATTTTATTCCCGATCTTAAATAACCCTGCATTCCGTTAGTATAAACTTTAGTAATGGAACATTCCGCTAACTATTTATTATTCTTAACTTACTCATTAATTTCTATAAGAAAGGTCTAGGTTTGCACCCCATCCGACCAAAGTTGGCATAATTGTTAAACATATACTACTAATATGTAAGAATGTATTAAAAAATAAACATAAAATTTAACATAAACTTTGGTCAAATAATTAGCCCGACTAAATACATAGCATTCAAAGTTGAGCATCAAAGATTATAAATAACGATCCTTGAATATCATTTTCTTGCATTTTTTAAAAAACAAATTAAGGTTAAATTGTTTTTTTTTATTAAATTAATCTTCTTTTGATTATTTAGAACAAGACTCAATATTTCAATTATACTTTTGCATTATTGAGAATGATTTAGGTTATTATGGTATTAACATTTTTTTGGTCTTTATTTCTATAATCGTACAATTGTACATTACTTTAAAAATATTGTACTATTAATTTGTTATCAGACAAAATTGTTCTTGGTCAGACCTGCGTGACCTAATTACAAAGTTTTTTATCATAAATACAACTACACGTGAACTCTAAATGGTAGGGCCATTGTCCAAAGAATTGACAATGTTGACATCCCACTAACTCCAATTGAATATACACATCATTCTCATAATTTTATCAATGCATGAAAATTTCTAAACAAATTTGTAAGTTAATTTTTACTATATCATTATAACAATATCTATTGTAACCATATATTTCGAATTATTTATTATCATCTTCTATTGAAAGCAATTGTAGCAATTGTCATTGACAAACTTCCAAAACAATTTGTCTCAACAACGAATTGAAAAAAATTAAAATAAAAAAATCAATGACTTCATTGTTGTGGATGCAAAGTAAGTACCCCATGTGAGCATATAGCCATTAATGTGCAATCCAACTTTGAGCTTAAGCTTTTAGTTGAGATGGAGTACATGCTTCAATTTGGTAGTCACTTACGATTTACCGGTCCACGTGTTGCTAAGCTTTTTGTTGGATTGCACATTAATGGCTATATGCTCACACCCCACTCTATTACTCTTATTAAATTAAATAAATAAATTAATAGCTACAACCAAAGATAATACATATGCATTTCTTTAATTTAGAATTAGATGTCTATAATGTCTTTATTCAAAAAAAAAAATTATGTTTTTATGCTGATAATAATATGTAAATTGTAATTAGATCATTATCTTACGACTTACGTAACTATATTTAAAAATCATTATTAAAAATGTCAATGTAGGCTAATAGAACATCGTGACACACTTGACGCATTGAAAAATTGCCAAGACTACAACAATGCTGCAGTCGATCTTGCAAATTCAGAAAGTGATCGAAGAAATTTCAAAAATAGTCATAGTTGCTGCATTCATTGACCTAGTATGTAAAATAATTATTGTGCATCAACAAACACAGCATCAACCTTAACAAGACTCAATAAGGTTTAGAATTCATTTCATTTTCTAGACTCAACCTGTTTGGGTTAAAAGAAAAATCAGCATCAACCTTAACAACAAACACACTTAGTATTCGGACTACCTGCAGACTCATTGTTGTTACTATCAAATAAACAAGTTATGGAACTAGAACAAGAAATACTACTCATGAACCTTTTACAAATATAATAAATATTAATATTTTGTTCAATACTTTCAAATGAGAATCTACGACACACATATCACAACACATGAAACATGTAGGGGAAAAAACTTCCACTGCCAAATATTAACAGGCACTTGCAAGATAAAGAGTTCATATTAAAACTAAGATCCAAGTCATATACACAACATGACAAAATCTACAACTCCATACATCATAATCTCATTGCATGACGCTGCCCTCTATGCTACCACCAGTAACTCAATTGCAGATGACACACTATCAATAACAAAGAAGATGACAAGTACTGAAGATGGAAACAATGACAATGCTACCCAAAAGAGAATTAAGAAAACTTAGTGAAATTCAAACCAAAAGTAGTATTTATTTAGACTATCATTTTTAGACTAAGTATTTACACTAGTGTTATTACAAAGTTGCAAACATTTATTTTAGTGACAATTATAATCAATATCTCATATATTTCCTTGCATTCGTATACTTTGAATTGCTGATTTCAAATAAACAAATTCAACATTCAATTACCTGTTAACGGAATCAAAATTCTTATTTCCGACTTATCTGAACAAATTTTTTGTTAACCAATTAATCAATATATTTTAGTGTAATTTAAAAAATCTTAAAATTCATAAATAAAAATTTTAAATGCATAGTTTCACACCACAAATTAATTATTACATCAATACATAATAAATGATAAATTTTGAAAAAACTAGTCTAATAGTATTATTTATGAATTATAAAAAAAATAAAATTAAAACATATATACACACATAATTCGGTTTTTGGTTAACTGACACTTTCAAACCGTTAACTAGAATTCTTAAAAATCATTAATCATTAACCAAACTGAAATATTTCAATTAAAAAATGACTAATTGAAATTTGTCAACCGTTAACGAATTTTCACCAAATTATTCGCACCTTAGCATGGTAGAAGTTCAAGGGTAGATTCCTTGTACTCAAGCATTTGGCGCTATCTGTTAGGCCAAGCCATGAGTTAGTGTAATTTATGTTCTCTCATATGCTCTATGAGGATGGAGTATGTGGGGACGAGGGGTCATTGGGTTGAGGATTCAACTTTTTGGAAGAAAAAGAAGTTCAATGTTGAAAGATGAAAGTGTTGTTTTATAGTTGTTTTTTTCTTTCCATTGTTGATGTTTCTTAAATTGTCTTGTACAATTTTTTATTTTTTATTTTTTATTTTTTTAGAAAAAAAAAAGCATTTTTAAAAGCATAAACAGCTGTAATGACTGTATAATTGCATATGACACTTCCCATTCTGCATTTCCTCTCTCTTACAGTGAAGCAGTTTATATATATATACTAGTTATTATACATATACATAATGCATTCATATGATTTTCGATGCCAGTAGCATGTGGTGGCTAGACGTACGGAATCATCTTCTTCTCTCCGGTGATTCTTTTTTGCGGCGGATATGAGGAAATGCCGATTCATTTGCTAGGGTTTTGACCTCTCTCTCTTTAGCGTCATGCCAGCAGAGCAATGGCGATTTAGCTGCTTCAAGCGTCGCTTTCTATTTCTCTGGATAATTTCGTTTGGAAAATCTTGTATCTTTCATCTCCTATCTCCCAGCTTCAATTGAACGGCAATGCGTTTCCGGCATTGTTAACTGAACCAGGAAGACTGTGCGGCCTGAGTTTGGGGTTTTGGGGGCTCAATCTGCTGCCTAAGAGTTCAGGTACTTGGTTCTTAGCTTGTGAAAAGGAAGGCAAAAGGTGCTTTCTTTTCTTGTGGTTGTTGCTTTTCCATTTCTTTCTGATATAAAATAGAACGGATCTTCGTTGTTCTGAGTAGTTAAAGCGTATTTATTTATCTTACTCTGAAAGCCAAGTATTGAATTAGGCCTAACTGCAATTTTTAATAGTATTATGATGTTGAAAGATGTGGATTCAAGGGAGATTAACCAACGGGATTGTTGTAGATAGGACTAGAAAACAAGGGAGATTGTGGTGACTTTTGTTGACCAATTCAAGGTGAGCAGGATTCCTCTGGGGTTTGGTGTTCTGAAGCATTGATGGGGCTAATTGGAACTCTTTCGATGCTTCTTTTTCCATTGTGGTTTTTCTTGTTGCCACAATTATGCAGCACACAGTTATCTGGTTCTTCACTGGATTCTCTACTCCAAGACTATGCTTATCGGGCACTTGTTAGCCCAAAGACTGGTGCAGTTTATGATGGAAATGTGCCCGCGAATATAACAGGGATTAAGGTTTCTGCGGTGAGGCTCAGGAGTGGCAGTTTAAGGGCGAGAGGTGTTATTTACAAGGAATTTGAGATACCGGTTGGGTTTATTGCACAGCCTTATGTTGAGAGGCTTGTTTTGGTCTATCAGAACTTGGGCAATTGGTCTATGAAGTATTACCCTTTACATGGATATGCATATTTGACCCCTGTTTTTGGTCTTCTTGCTTATAATGCTTCAAACCTGTCAGCCAAAAACTTGTCTGAGTTGAATATTATGGTGTCTGGTAAGCCCATCTCTATCAGGTTTTCGGATATACAATCAATACCAAGTGGGTTTGCGCCCAAGTGTGTTTCATTTGATTTACAAGGTTCTGTTAATTTCAGCAATGTGTCGTCAGATAACAGATGTACGACATTCCAACAGGGACATTTTGCTATTGTAATTGAGTCTCCTCTCCCGGTTACTCCTTTGCCACCATCAAACGATAAGGGTAAAAAGTCATCGAAAACCATTTGGATAATAGTTGGAACAGTGGGTGGAGGATTAGCTGTATTGATTTTGTTAGGATTTCTGGTTGCCTGGCTGCACAAGTACAAGCGCCAGAAGAAAATGCAACATATGGAAATGGCTGCGGAGGTTGGGGAAGTATTGAAGATGACCAAAGTTGGAAGCACGAAAGCACCGGCTGCTTCTGTGACGAGAACACAACCAACACTCGAGACTCAATATGCTCTCTAGTGTGTGTATTCTTTGTTCAAGTTGCACTCTCCCACTGCCGTGCAATTGGATTCTTCTTAGAACACCCTTCTTTCTTGGTGTGCATTTTGTTGCTCCATTCATTCTAGTAAATTTAGGTTTGTTGTGTGAGTAATAAGGCGATTACCCCGTGCAAAATGATCTGTTAGCTTTCAGAAAAACCATTCACATTGTGATAATATGTTGTGCTGTGCATTTTTAGTGTAGCCTAGGTTGGCTTTACATATGTGAATTGTGCTTTTCACCTTGACAAAGGAAATACAATTTCAATGGCAATCATTCACTCATTTTCTCCATGGCATCTTTTTAGTCTGACCACATGTTTTCTCAGTTGGGTATACACCGAGACTAATCTTGTTCGTGCTGGATGGTTTTCTCAATCGGGTATATACCGAGACTAATCCTGTTTGTGTGCACCATGGCAATTGGCAAAGTACTCCTTTCATCAGATAAGCAGACTTCAAAAGAGAGATTCTTGTGAGTTTAGTGGAAACAAGAAGAGCAGAAAAATTCAAATTGTGTTGATTGTTTACATTTTCAGACAAGTACGGTAAAAGGAACCAATTGTGGTGCTTTTAGGCAAAAAGAGTTGCTAAAAAGATGGACTTTAGTTGTTTGTGATGAGTTAATGGCTTAAAGCTATTGGCCTATGTAGGATGCACCCCACGGGCCAACAGAAATTTTACTAGTTTTGTTACCTACCAAATAAGAAAAGTTGTAATTGTTGTTGTTGATGTTGGTTTTTTTTTTTTTTTTTTTTTTTTTTTTTTTTTTTTAACTCCGTATTTATTTTGATTTAATTTCGGATCTTGGATTTTGAAAATTCCTTTTTTCTTAGGATGAATTATGCAATAAATTGTGGTTAATTTTGTACTATCTTTTATTAAGCTATTGCAATAAACTATGAATAGAATAAGAATATTATGAATCTTTATAAAAATAGATTTTAAAAATTGTATTTGAATCTTTTGATTCATTTATGAAATAAAATAATTTATTTTAAAGTGAAAATGTGAAATAAACCTAACTGGCGAGTCAATTAGATATTGAAGAGGTGAAATTTGTCATAAGAGATCAAGGATCGAGTTTTATCAGCGATAGCATGAGAGAAACCTCTCAAATGAAGAGAACTTTTTGTACACAGTGAGCAAAAATTTAGCATCTGTTGATTAGTTGAGTCATCATGATTTACTCTTTCACGATTTTGTCGGACCGGGATGTGGGGGATTCCATTTTTTTTTGTCACAAGATATTATGGAATTAGTTTGCTGCTATTGAGGAGCATGACTGCGACAAAACACAATGATCATAAACAAGCGTCCATCACGCTGCATTGCTTCCCGCTACATTAATTATGAATGCAGTTAGTAATATTCGTTACTTTTTGAAATAAATGCTCACAATATTGTCTTTAGTTTGAGTTATATAACATAACTTTAATCATGTAAATACTGCAATATTACATAACTTGATTCGCCATTGGGTTTGCTTGGTTCAATATAGAGAGGCAAATAGATGTGTTGATTGGATACATCTAGTCTTGAAGTTACTGAGTTTGAGCGACATGTTTTTGAGTCTCCACATAGATAATTGCAACTCATCTTGAATATTATTTACATGATTTTTCATGATTTAACTACAATATAATAGAGTCAGTAGCATTCAAAAAAAAAAAAGTAATTTTTAGTCTTTTTATCCTTTCTGGTGTATTAAAAAAAAAAAAATTAGCACGCTTAATTCCTGCTTTGTCCATAACCTGCCAATCCACGTGCTCGCCAAGGCTTTTGGGGCTCGTACGGGTCGGTTTGAGTGTTGTGACAAATTATACTATGTATCGCAGTTCACAATGCGTTGTGGTTTAGATATCAAAAAGATATCGTTATTTTTAATTAAAAGAAACGGCACATGTTCTGCACCGTTTCGTGCCGTCCGCAAAAAGTAACTTTGATTGTATAACATATTCAGTTTCATTTTGTATACATTATAGTTTCATTTCAACACAACTACAATTTCATTTTGATATAACTACAGTTTCATTCGATATTATACACTCGAATATATGAAACTGTTATTCAGTTTCATTTTGTATACACTATAGTTTCATTACAACACAACTACATAATCATTTCGATATAACTACAGTTTCATTGCACAATATACACTCAAATATATGAAATGTTATTAAGTTTCATTTTATATACACTACAGTTTCATTTCAACGTAATTACAATATCATTTTGATACAATTACAGTTTCGATGGACAATATACACTCAAATATGTATGTGAAATTGTTATTCAGTTTCATTTTGTATACACTATAGTTTAATTACAACACAACTACATTATCATTTCGATATAACTACAGTTTCATTGCACAATATACACTCAAATATGTGAAATTTTATTCAGTTTAATTTTATATACACTACAGTTTCATTTCAATACAATTACAATATCATTTTGATATGACTACAATTTCGCTAGACAATATATACTCAAATATGTGAAATTGTTATTCAATTTCATTTTGTATACACTGCAGTTTCATTTCAACACAACTGCAATTTCATTTCAATTACAATTTCATTTGATAATATTAAAATAATACGTGAGGCAGTGTCAATTTAGATATACTATAGTTTCATTTGATAATTAACACACAAAAAATACGTGCTCTATTAAGTTGTAACGGCGTCGTTTTTGGACCATGATCTACAATCTTTGTGTACCATGATACACGATATAATTGCTGAAGTGGTGTGACACCCCTTCAAACTACTTGATTCCTCATCTCAGTTAATGATATTTATTGGTTTTGCTAAAAAAAAAAAAAAACAAACATATTTCTAACAATGTACATAAATAATATTTAAGAGATAATATAATAATTTTAAGTGACATGACGTTTCGTAAACCTAATATCATTAAGGCAAAAAGTTGATAAATGTTTTTGTTGAGATTAGATGGGTGGTTTAAAAACCAAATGGGCTAATATTGCATCTTTTTTAAATTTAAAAATAAAAATTAAGACGTATTCCTAACAATGTATATAAATATAATACTCCGTATTTATGAGATTGTTTAACAATTTAAAGTGACGTTCTTCTTCTTCAAAAAAAAAAAAAAAAAAAAAAAAAAACAATAATTTAAAGTGACATGATATTTCGTAAACCAAATATTGTTAAAAGTAAAAAAGTTGAATGTTTTTGTTGAGGTTAGATGCGTGCATAAATGATGCGATCTTCCTAACACTCTTTACATTTCACACCTGCTTCTTACCTGTTCTGCTTCAGCTAGCGAGCTTGCCTCATGCCAGCTGGTGTCCTAGAATGTTTTTTACAGAAAGACATCCAGTGGTGTGAGTCTGTGTTCAGAAATTTAATGTACCCAGCCTCACACCACAATCAAATCTTAATTATGGAAAATACGATAGGGAATTTCCTTCTCTATTCTTAACTTTTACTTTCACACCTAAAATTTTGATGTAAACACTTTTACACGAGCCCACATGAAGAAAATAACATATTACTTTAAGGAAGTGAAAATTTGAGAGAGTAAGGGGTCGTTTACTTCATTTCTCTGTTTTTCCATTTCCAATTTTTCATTCTTCCATTTCTCCAGTTTTCTTTCTTCATTCTTTCAGTTTTCCATTTTTCCATTCATCCAATTTTTTATTTTTCTGATTTTCATTTCTATTAAAAACAATCATCCCATATAGTATTTGTATATTTCTACAACAAAGATAATAATAATAATAATAATAATAATAATAATAATAATAATAATAATTTAATAATTTAATAATAATAATAGTAATAATGATAATAATAATTTAATAATAATAAGAATAGTAATAATTTAATAATAATAATAGTAATAATTTAATAATAACAACAACAAATTTGTGTATATAAGTAGGAGGAAAATGAAAAAGATAATAATAATAATAATAATAATAATAATAATAATAATAATAATAATAATAATAATAATAATAATAATAATAATAATAATTTATTTTACAAATTTAATTTTTTAATAAAAAAATTCCAATACACTAATACTAAATGTATAAAAGGTAACAAAAATTGATAAAACATATTTCTAGATAATTATAACTATTTCAATCATTTTAGTACATAAATAATAATAATAATACTCCGTAATACTCAAAATAATAATAATAATAATAATAATAATAATAATAATAATAATAATAATAATAATAATAATAATAATAATAATTAAAGGAAAAAACGCTAAAAATAAATAATAATAAAAATAATTTTGAATGTGAAAAGCACAAAATGGGAAGTAAAAACTGTAATAATAATAATGAGTAATTAAAACGAAAATGGTAAATAATCAGTTGTGGGCGGCTGTGCGCAGGGAAGGGGAAAAATAGAAAATGCATGAATATACACTAATGTATCATTTGTAGGAATCGATCCGTGGACCTTAAGGGAATGCACTGTTCACACACACCTTCTTCCATTCTTCCATTTAGAGAACTTTGTTTATTTATTCTCCAAATTTAGTGAAAAAGTGGAGAATGGAGATAGAATGTAAATTTGGAGGAAAGATTTTAGTAAACAAGTCTTCCCTTCTCCATTTTTTCACTTCTCTAATTCTCCCTTTTTCTGGAAAATCCTCCATTCTTCCAAGTTAGTAAAGGACCCCTAAGATTTGAGAGTACTATGTAGTAGAACTCCTTAATTAATTGTCACAATATTGCTTTAAACAATAGTTGTATCAACCTATGAAACCAAAGTGCATGTCGAAAGAAAGACTTCTGTCTTAACTAAAAGTTCAAGTTAATAGTAGGATTTTACATTTATTATTTTTAGGCAAAAATGTCAAATAGACACATCTACTACTCCGAAGGAGTTCTACTACATGTACTCCCAAATTCTATTCCATCACTTTTACTCCATGACATGACAAACACAGATGGGCTATTTTCATCATGTGGGTCCCAGGAAATGTGTCTACATCAACAATTTGTGAGAAGTAAAAGTTGGGAGTACATGTAGTATTTTCCACTCCGAAGTGTTCAATTCACCCCACCATCTAAATTATGATGTAATCAGGCACACTTACCATCTAAAATTGTTCGATGAGGCTTTTTTTGCAGGTTACCTCCCGGTTGCCAATCCATCTGGTTGACTTGGAAATAAATTTAATGACATGAAAATAAATTGAACAACACCGGTTGCTTCTTCAAACACAATTAAAATCCAAAAACTTGTGAAATCAGAGTAAATCTGCAAGTCA